AGGTTACCTATCCCATCTAACGTCCGGGCGCCAGCAATTCTCATTACAAAATCATCCTTCCGGTTTTACTAATTTCTCCAACCAAATGGACCCGACCCCAGACTAAACACAGTGGTTGAACCCATCCTTAAAAATAGGGTTAGGTTTATCGCATCCCTTCGATCTTTATCTCCAAACTAAACACATGCTTAGAGAGTCATAGCTACCACTTGTTTTTTTTTGTGTTCAACTTTTTTTATCAAGATCTATGAAGGAAAATTTGTATGCTTTATTTATTGACTTCTAAGATACTCCATCTATCCAATTAGTTATGTTTTCTGATTGCACAACTTCCTTCTAATCCAGCACTTTGAAACCTATAGTATCCTAAACCACTGTTGAATGCTATCTTTATCTTCCCATTTATCTCCATCTGCATTAACTGGTAGTGTGGGAAAAATGACCCAAGCTTTCAGGTAAGAAGCGAAAGTGTAATGGCTTTCGGGTAATAATGAACCCACTTTGCTAGCCTTGAGAGAGGGGAATGACCCTAGAGCCCAAGCAAACTATCTACACAAGAGTGATAAAAAAATCACCAATCAAACTGCTAAAGCAATCACAAACAAGTGACATTTTAGAATTGTTCAAGTCAATCATCCTAAACCTTACCTAGGAAATACTTTTCATGTGCTGAGTTTTAATGTTTGGAAATGGTACACGTAGATCTTCCTTGAAATATAATTCAACAACAGTATACATTTGCTATATTTACTAGCTAGCAAATAAGTAGTGGTCAAAACATGAGAACTAAGTACATACAATCATGAAGCGTTCCTTATTTGTGACAGGAGTGTATATTTTTATGCCTAGTTACAATTAAGGCACATTTGGTTCTTCAACTACCACTTGCATCTCCTTACTAAGCGAGAAATCACATGAGAAGGGGTGTTTGGTTCACTGCCGAGGTTTAGTAGGAGAGTCGTTTTAGTTCACCTAGCCTGGCAAGGAAAGGCTCACTCGCATGGGCGAGGCGAGGCAACCTAGCCTCTGGAACCAAACTCTACCATTAGTTTATCTTAAAACACAAGTAGTCATGTTGTACACTAGAATGTACCCATGAGCAGGTCAAACCAAAATTTGGCAACAATAAATGCTTGCCAAACATACCACATTAGTCTTGCCACACTTTAATGGCAACAAAATCCATCCCCTATAACCTTAGAGATTAGAAAAAGTTAGGTAAACAAAAGTTGTGTGTGGACCAAGAGACTAAGAAGTTAGGCAGACTAAGTTGTGTAAGAAGTTAGGCAGACTAAGTTGTGACAGCAAACAAACAATGGCTAAAACAACAAGGGGCTCTTGTCCCTACTTTGAAGTGCAATTGTGATTTTGCCCTCGTTTTTCTAACTTTGTGATTTTGCCCTTCACTACGAACAAGTCAATGTGATTTTGCCCCTAGTCAACGGTCAAAACAGGGGCAAATTCACAAAGACCAGGGACAAAATCGCATTGTTGCTAGTAGTGAAGGGCAAAATCACAAAGTTAAAAAAATGAGGGCAAAATCATAATTGCACTTCAAAGTAAGGGGCAAGAACACCAAAAGCCCCAAACAATTGTGTCTACCTACGGTTAATTGTGGCAACCATAGATTGCAATCCAAACATACCAAGAAATGCCAAAATGTGGCAAAAGAGAAGATGGTTGGATCATAGCGGAACCAACCTTGGGTAATGACAGAATCTAGGGCATTAATAAACGGTGTTTGGGTTACTCCTAAACTTTGCCAAAAATAATGAATGACATGGATCCATGTGTCACTATTTTTTTTAGTCTAGATACATGGATCTTCAGGTCAATAAATAGAATATATAAGATGACGGAGGAAGTATATATGTGCAGCCACTAGCAAGCTGCCACGTCACCCTCTTATTTGGCCAGCCAAACCAAAGCCAGGCCACCAAAACGTTCAATCATGACTTGCCACCAAAGCCAGGCCAGGGCCAAAAATTTTAGAACGAGCCAAAACTTGTAGAGAACTAAATATTGGCCAAATTTTATAGACACCTCAAAATTTGGTCAGGCCTTTACCGGCACCAAAATTTGTGATGACGATGACAAAGCCCTAAAGAATGTCTCACTGTCCCGAGGAGACCGAAGTGGAAGAGCATCACAAGTCGTAGACGGTATCCCAATTTGAGGACAACAATATACAGAGAGCCGAATCTGAGACAAATCTACAGTTTCTTGTTTGCTTACAAACACCACCAGATGTCACCTGTTCTCAAAGACTGCAAAGAAATCTCCACAATCTCATTTCGCCAATAACATCCACACATGCATTTTGTCTGGGTTTACTTGCTGCTGCAATGGTATGGGCTGCTATCACCATTGCTGTCACCCGCTGGCCTCCACTAAAACTCGGTTTCCATAGCCATGCCATCTAAGGTCCTGGACGGCTGGACCTGTCAATTCAAGTTGCACAGAAACCTACATCCCCCTCAGTTTCCATAGGTCCTGGAGTTCATTCAAGTTGCACTGAACTCATCAGACCCAACAATTCTTCATCGAGTGGAGGTCTGGGGGAAGAAAGTTTGGGATTCGGATGCTTTTCTGCTATCAACTTTATCAAACCCCAGTTGCTTGCGAGTTGCGATGTTCTGACACCACATTGTTGCCATGTCAGAGTTTATCCTGTAAAACATATATACAAGTTACTTAATTGACTTTAATTTAATGGAACAGGCATTCAGGCTCCAACATAGACCCAGCAAAACTGATGCAAATTTTTAGAATTCACCAGAAAAATAAATATCCAGCAACTCTTACTTGGTTTAAAAAAGTTTGGCAACAGGATTAGAGTAGAAAGGTAACAAGCATTCATTAAGACTGACCGAGCGAGTGCCGAGTGGTACAACCGTACAAGTTTTTAAAGTCTTGAATGGACCACTAAATACTTATTCTACATGGATGCTGCTTAGTTACAGCTTCTTTTTGTTCTCCATGTATTCAAGCACAAAGGCATGTTGTACTTTCATATGTTGGACAAATAGACAGTCTGATACATCATTATTAACCGTTTTCTTGTGTACTTAGAATTTAGAAAGTGTACTGACATGTGGTTTCAACTTAATGTTATGCTTAATGATGTGGCTGACTGATTACCCAAAACCAGCCACAAATACCTTGTTATGTAATTCTACATTGATTTTGACATTTGGGGGATATGTGATCAACAAGTTGCACATTAAGTATGCTCAGACGGAAACTAAACCACACGAAGAGTTGAGGGACCACCACGGATGTACTTTTTACTAAATGAAATAAAAATCTAGAACCTAAGGTGCAAATAATTTGACATTCACATGCTCACCTTTAGTACCTTTCAGCCAGAGGGCTACAGGCAGCACCATACAGGCTGTCTACTGAAGTGACAAAGACTTCATCACAGAAATGATCTGGCATCTTCAAACTAAATTGTCCTTGTAAAGTCAGGTGGAGGACAGTCTGAAAATTAGAATATTATCATTGCTTAACGTGGTACAGTAATGTTGGATACTGCTAATACTGTAATAATTAACATTTACCTTCTCATGGAAATCATTTCATGTTGAAACTAGAAAAAATGGCGCGGCGTTGCCGCGCCAGCCAATGTTGCCATGTTGGGTTTGTGGAAGCTGAGTAGAGCACTGAGATCTTTACCTTGATATAAATCTCTGCAAATCCTCCTCGAAAAAATCATGGCAAATCTCTTGCTGTTCTTTTTGTTAAAAGAAAGAAAGGTAGCAAGTCATTTGAGTAGTCAAGTATAAACAATTACTAGATCTTGAGACGCTATGGCTGTAGCCGAACTCTAAAATTCAGCAAATTATCTGAGTAGGCAGTGCGTATTCTAAAAATAGGTGAAAATATGTATAAATGCAGTATACTGGAATGTGTTAAGAGTGGTGTAGTGTAGCACACCAAAATTTTGGGAAGTATATTGATTGACCCAACATACAAGTAATCAAATTTAAGAAAACAATACCATTACATAGATTTCTTGATCTGCCAAAGGTGTTCATAATCCAAGAGGATTAAATAACTAAAAGAACTTTACATCGCAAGAGTGCTCCACGCATCAAAAGTTTCAGTAACCAACATTTCACTAACAGTCCAAGAACTTGACACTTCATGAGACCCAAGCTGGAAGGATCGTAATGAGCCAGTGCCATTGGGATTCCATATCTGGATGTTGGTTCCTTTGAGAACGTTGAAAGCAATGGTATAGTAACCGGTGTGTAACGATGGAGTGTCCCTTAGATCTTAATTGTTACCTGCATGGACATAATTGATTTGCAAGAGTCTAAAGTTAGTTCCAATAGTAGTTTTCTTAATTTTACTCAGAAAATGCATGTCTCTTCTCTTAGTTTGCTCTTTGTTGGTAGATAACTGAATGAAGTACAAACATCTTATTCAGATCACGGGGAAAAACAACATAGTCCACGAAGAGTAAATTCAAAAGGTAAAATATGGTTTTACACTGATAATGTCAAGTACAGAAATGAAGATTAAATCTAATGTGAATAGTTGGGAAAGTTTGATAAATATGATTGGCATTTCTCTATGTCTGAATTATTAGTAACACTTAGAAATTTTCCTACTAAAATTTAAAGCAAATGCAGGTACAGGAAAAATAAAATTACTGAATAGTTGGGAGGAGATTTCACAAGGCTGAGGGACAAATCCTACCAATGGGATAGGGGTTAGGAAAAATAGCTCACGTATCTCATATATCTGATTGATGGATATAGGAAACTGAAATATTGGATTCTAATCAAGTCGCTCACATCAGATTGATCCAGGGGGACTATCAGAAGCACTAAATGGATGTCTATACGTGGAAAAAAAATTGAGAAAAAGAAACGGCGCTTACTTAAGTCGTTGCAGTTGGATGAGTTGAAGTCGTTCACAGTCACACTTCCTTCCACCGGCTGGGTACGCAACCAAAGTCGGCGTCGTTGAAGCTGGGTTAGTCGGGGCAGATGCCGGAGTCGAGCAGGCCGATGATGGCGTCCGCCGCAGGAGACGATAATGAAACGTCGGTGGGTGCCGCGTTGCTGACGCGCGGGGGCCCGGCGGCGACTGGGACACGAAGCAGGGACGGAGGCAGCCCCGAGCAGTGCCCATGCGGTGTCGGCGGCGCACGGCGGAGGGTAAGCAGAGGTGGAACAGAAGGGGAGCAGCGTGGCTATGGATTGCAAGGAGCGGCAAAGCTTGTGGTAGTTGCAAAATTAGTGGCTGCGCTAGGGAATCTGCAAGGTGATAGGATTGGGAAGACCGGAAGAGACGTTCAGGAAGAAATAAGCCTGAACGAGGATGGTAGCCTGTTCTGGAAGCTCGTGGACATACCTAGCCCAAGCTGTTGTACGGCGTCCGATCTATATCCAATGGCCAAGAAATTTTCGTTGACGTGGCCCAATGGATGGCCTGAGCTTGGCCCTGCTTTCGTCTTGTAGAGATGTTCAAATGTAGTTGGTCTGTTCTCTGCTACCCAATCCAAAATAGATATTGCATGCCAATCATGACAGCTGATAATGCTGCTAAATCACATTTCCATCTCCAAAGAGATGACAAAAACATGACTAGACCGGAGACCAAGTGGAGTCAAGAAACTGGCCTAGTAGATTAGTCACCTGGAAGGGAAACCAAATATCTCGTTCTTTCTGTGTAGCTTTTGATAAAAAAAATTATATATAACTATATGCAGATCAGAATGGATGCTCTATTATTCTATTTAGTTAGCACTAGGAGTAAAAAATAGGAAAATATATGGTAAGTTTTAATGAGACACTCTGCTCATCTCAACAGGATAAATACACAATACACCTTCTGTCATAAGTCATAACTCATAAGTACCATCTACTGTCCTTGCACTCATAGCACAGAATGATGCTAAGAATATGATTCTCCTGAAGAATTTACAGTTTAACATTAGGCGTACCTTTCGTCCAGAATCTGGCATAGATTGATCATTCATCGCATCATCTATCGTGACATCCTCGTTGATGTTTATAGCATCCCTTTGAGATCCCCGGCCAGGATTTCTTTCATAAGCAATAATCTCTTCATATGCCTTCTGTAAGATATCTTTTGCTGCTTTATATACTGCCTCCGATCCAGCTCCTTTCTCAGCACATCTGATGGCATCAGCACATAGGGCATTGTAGCGGCTTGTGGTGGACTGAGAAGCATCCTCATCGTGAGTATTGTTGTTATTATCTTCTAACAAAGCATCATCATCTCTTGCCCACCTTGTCCAACGTTTCATAAAATATTCAGGTGGAAGTGTCCGCGGATCAACTATTATGTATACTCCAAGAATATGACGGCACAATATACCTGAGAATTCAAAATACTTGCAACTACAGTTTGCCATCTTATTGGAAGCATTGTAAGTCACATAGAATGTGTCCGATGGATCTTCATCTTTTGTGATGCTGTATTTACTTATGCAGCCATCTTCAGTCTTCTGAATGATAAACCCCAGAGACTCTGTAAATTCCTCCTGAAACTTACTGAAGACTGCTTTGGTATAGGTGCTTGCTGCCTGTTTTTCTATTAGTGATGCAGTTTTTGTAGTTGCCTTATTTAAGATGGCATCCATATCTGCTTTTGCTTCATCCTCAAATCGGCCTGCCAAGCTCGAATCAAACTGATTAAGAAAAACTTCAAGCGTTGTTTTTGAATTGAAATATTTCTTATAGAAATCATTCATGGTTTCCAATTTCCATGTGGGAGATGTTTCTGCAAAGAATGTATCCATCAGGTACAAAGGAACCCACTTTTGGCGGATATTGTATATTGCTTGAAGCCATGAATTCTTTCTCAAGTCATATCTATCAATGATTGACATCCAAGTTGTTTCGAAGGACGAGATGGTTTCAGACTCAAGAACACAGCTCTCAAGCTCGTCTCTTAGGGTTGGATGCTCTGAGTATGTATGGGTCAGCTTTTGCTTGGTTCTACTCAAAATATTCCACTTACAGAAACGGTGACAGGAATTCGGAAAAACCTTCCCAATTGCAGCCTTCATAGCCCTGTTTTGGTCAGTGACCAACGAGCATGGCGCCTTACCTCCCATTGCCGCTAACCATGTTTCAAATAGCCATATAAATGAGAACTCCGTCTCTTCCATAAGCAACGCACATCCAAAAATAACAGGCTGCAGATGATGGTTGACTCCTGAGAAAGTAACAAAGGGCATCATATACTTGTTCTTCTTGTACGTCGTGTCGAACGTTATAGCATCCCCGAAATGCCGGTAAGCTGCTTTGGCCCTAGCATCAGCCCAGAAAACATTCACCACACAGCCATTCTTGTCAACCTGTATAGCATGGCAGAATGCAGGGTCATTGGCTTGCATCTTCTTGAGATAATCAAGCAGGCCCTGAGCGTCCCCTCCTTCCCCAAGGACATTCTGCCTGAGAAACGCCATCTCGTCAGGCCCCACCATCGTGGCCTTATCAGAGCCGCCACCAAGCAAACCTCTCGCACGAAGGTACCCAACCTTGGCACTACAAGTTCCCAGGTCATGGTTGTGAGCCTTCTCAAGCTTGGAGACAACCCAGTGGTCCGCCTCCCGAACCACCTCCATCATAGCGTTGCAACCTTCCCGCATAGACATCCGCTCACGCTTCCTCGTCGCGTCATCCGGCGAGGTCTGTTTCTTCTTGTACATCCCTTCCCTGGAGCAGACGAACCTCTTCATGACGACAACCTCCTCCGTGCCCTTGGACCGCCGAGACCTGCCGACACGGAAGGGGAAGCCGAGCCGCCTGGAGTACTCGTTGTAGAACGCCTTGGCAGCCTCATCGGACTCGAACGTCATGCCGAGCACGGGCTCACTGGGGTCCTCGGCTGAGGGGAAATCTCTCGTGCCATCTGGATCCGTTCCGGCCCCGACTGACCCTCCTTCCCCGACTGCAGTACCGAGGATGAGACTGTCGCTGTGGACAGGACGGGCATTGGTGTCCAGAGACATGAGGCAATCCACATAATCGGCAATCAACTCGTCGCCTTCCGTCCTTTCCCCCTCCATGGCGATTACCATCTGCGTGTGCTCAAGAATTCAAGATCCCGTACGAGCATCCATCACCACAGTTACACTGTTGCTGAAACCAGTAAAAAAATCGGAGTGAGTAGGCATCTACACTTGTGATTTGGCCAGATCCGAATACAAATTGCTAAATAGCTAAGTTAGGGTTCGCGTGCTCAAATTTGCGCAGCAGGAAAGGAAGAGAAAGGGGTGGGCATACCTGGTGCGGTCGGTTCTCGTCGCCGGAAAGGGGCCGACGAAGACCTGGCAGCTGGGCGTAGGGCGGCGGCGGTCCTGCTAGTTGTCGCACAAGCGAGGGTGCCTTTTGGTTCGTGGGAAATGGGCACTGGGATAGGGAAATAACCGGTGGGACAGATACCATTATAATTTTGGAAGTTTTGAGATTTGTTATTACAATTCACCCATTTTAAAACTTTGTTATAATTCGTTGTCTATATGATCTGTGCTATTTTCTACGTCGCCTGAGTGCCTAGGCCCACTGTCAAACCATTTTACGCGTACGCATCTTTCATGTAGACCAAAACACCCATGCTGCTTCTCTCTTCCTCGACTCACTGACATGTGGGCCCCACAAGTTAGATTCTCCTTCGACCTCCGGCCATCCTCCACCACGCAGCGGGCGCAATACGGGGCGGCGGCGGCAGCCTTGAGCTGGAGCAGCTCGTCGCCTGCGGCGGAGAAGACGAAGACATGGCCACGGGAGTCCCCGACGAAGTACTTGGTGAGCCCGTCGGGATCCTCATATGGCAGTGTGGCCGCGCGCGGCGGTGTACGCGCCCTCCCTGAGCCGCGTGGCCGCCGTAAAGTGGAAATGCTCGGACCATACGGGACGATGCTTGGTGACCGCCACGCCCTGCGGGGAGCGCCGGTCCCCGACAACCTCCGCCGCGGGGGCAGCCGGCGGCGAGGGATCCCCAGGTCCGTGGATCTGGCCTGAGCGCGGACTCGAGCAAGTGGACGGATATCGCGAGCGACTCTGCCAGCTCCTCCATCCTCGCAGGCTGCGCCGCGTGCCGCTCCAGCAGCGCGGCCTTGGCCACCGCCTCCACCGGCACTTCCTCCGACGCGGCGACGAGCGGGAGGAGGAGGAGGGCAGCGATGCGGTGGAGCATGACCCGTCGACGAGGACTCCGTCGTGCTGGTTGCTGACGCCTCCACGTGCAGCGCCGACGACACCTCCCTCGCGCCGAACGGCCCGTCGTCGTCGTGAGCTGAACCACCCACTTTCCCTCGACGACCAGCCTCTGATTGAGCACCCTGCGGCAGCGGAGTTGGAGATGCTAGCAGCATAGAGGACGGAGAGGTAGGAAGCAGGAGCCCGACTTCTATCATTGGCCGCGGCAGTGGTGAGATGCACGGTGGTGGCGAGGGAGATGGGAACCATCGGCAAGAGAAGGAGACGAAGGGGCCTACGTGTCAGTGAGTAGAGAGAGGGGTGTAGGTGAGGCTAATATCATCCATACGAAAATATTGTATGTCCCGTACATCTAACAGTGGGCCTCGGCATCCAGGAGATGTAGAAAATGGCACGAATCATGTAGACGAAGAATTATAATGGCAAATTTCAGAATAGATAAATTGTAATGGCAGATCTCAAAACTTTGAAAATTGTAATGGCATAGATCAAAATAACCCTAGATTTTATCCCTCGTTTGGATGGTGGGAAAATGAAATGAAGCTATATTTGGATTGGGAAATCTCAACCCGATGGGAGGGGTGGGTTTCGACGGGAAATGAGATCCGCTCAGCACCGCGAAACGGAGCAGGCCGCCGCCGCGCCGCGAGCACGGGCAGATGCTGCGCCGCGAGCACGAGTAGCAGCGGCTCACGGACGTCGCGACGCGAGCTGGAGCAGCGGCTCTTCCTCCTCTCTCTCTCTCTCCTCTCCCTTCGCTCCCTCTCTCTTCTTCGACTGCTATCCCGTGGAGACACGACACCTAGGGAGCCTCACGGGCGGACGCCGCTGCCCTGGCTAGCCACGAGCCGCCAGTGAGCACGGGGGCACGGCCCCCGTGGCTTGGCTTCAGCCATTGTCCCCCCACCACCACCGGCACGAAGGCGTACCATTGTCCGTCGGTAGGGTCGCCGCCGTCGCCGGCCCCTACAACTTGCGAGCACGGGTCGCTTGAGGATGACTGGATGAGATGATGAGTGTTTTTCTAATTACATTAATCTTGTGGGTCCCACTCAACCCAAACCCAAACCGGCTCCATCCAAATAAAGGATTGGACTAGAATCATGTATCCATGACCCTAACCCAGCCCATCCTAACCCAGCCCATTTCCTTTCCCCTTACCCAGTGTGATTTTTTTTATTTTTAACACATTTTTTCAACTATTTCCGAATCTGACACTGTTTAATTTTTTTTTCAAAATTAACACTTTTGGCCGCGTCTATTAGCATGGCGCGGTAAAATCACTCTGTTGCGTCATGCATGGCGGCATGGTAGGGGTAGTCAACGGCTACGGCGACCGCTAATGTGGCAAGTCTAACGCGCCACCCATCACGGCGCGGAGGGGCTGCCACGCCACGCATCACGCCGCGGCAGACCTGCTACTCCTACTCGTCCTATACTTCTGCTGCTGTGACTGCATACAAAGCCTGTATGGCCCTATGGGCTGGCTATGGTAGAGCAAGCTAGGAGGAGGCGTGCACACAGAGACATGTGAGTGATGTGACACCATGGTAGCGTAGGCTTCGCCATTGTGACCTGACACAATGACACCTCCCCTCGGTCTCTGACTTACTTTTTGACTATGCACTTGACGCAACGCCATTGTGACATGCACAGTGCTTGAGAACAGCTCACGGGCTACCAGCATCTGACTGTGTGCCTTGTTGAGAGTAGTGGGTTACTAGTGGAAATAATTTCCCGACTCTAAAGGATATGATAAACTTTATGGTTTGCTGAGTTTCCTTTTTGCGAAAACATTACTATTTGTGAATCCTTATTTATGTGTTTTTATTAGCAGTCATGATTAGTTCATTTGCTAATCATTCTATGTAAGCACCTGTTCTACTTTCAAGCAAGAGTTGAGCAATCAGATCCATTCATTCAATTTCATCTTCTCATTCTTACTATGGTGTTAGATCATAGACAAGTCATACCGTATCACACGGTTGGTTGCTCATTCTTTTTCGGTTTCCCTGTTTTTCTTTTTTCTTTTTTGCCATGACACTCGGCTCTCCTTTTTGTTTCTCAAAAAAAATTCGGCTCTCCTTTTTTTTTCTGTTTTCATTTTTTCTTCCAACTGCTTTCATTATCATAATTTATGAGTTGTAATCATGTTTATTGTTTTCATATCCAATAGTGAATTTTCCCTTTTCTATCACTAGCTTATGGTAAATTCTATTATTGGTCTTTTTATTTTTTGTTTTGATTCATTTTTATATAATCCTTTTATTTCACATAAATATATCACAAGCATTTTCCCCCAAAATGTAGCATTATCTCGTAAATGCTGGAATAAATTTCTCTAAATATGGGAACATTTTGGTCATGAAGCTACAACATTTTGGTCAAAAGGTCACGGAGTTAGATCTACTTCCTAACCCGAGTCTTGTGTGTGCTGAGGTGTCTCTCATGGTTTGTTAGATCATCATATGGGCACTTTACCAATATATGAACATCAAAATTTGTGTCCCTCTTTAGTACAACGTTTTCTAAACTCAATTTCAAAAACAAAGATGAACTTAAACATTATGTGTTCTTTTGCCATATACCATCAACTTTGAGGGGTTTAAATGCCGTTCACATCTCATAAACCTTATTAAGAAGTCCTTAATTATTTGTAACTAATACACCAAAAACCCACGAGGTCTTTCACAAGCCCAGTTCCACTTGGTTGATTAATGACTAGTAGTATTACTAGCCATTTATATACTGTCAAGACATTTAACTAATGAGAATAATTTTATTAGAGATGGTGGTACACTTTTTCTGGAAGCTTGGTCATGGTTAGAGAGTATTTTTCTCGGAATAAAACTAAAAATCAAACACCTCATATTTTGGAACATGGGGAGTAAGGATTAATTAGGCGAAGGCTGAGAAAGTGGTAGGTGGACCTAAGCACAATTAGGGTTTCATAAGTGCATTCACCAACTACCTTTACATAGGATCTGGCTCCCCTTTTATAGGACACTGTTTGCTACTATTTTATTGTACATCACTGCCCTATGACAGCTAAGGTATATTCCTAGAATATCCTAAGACTAGTTCAAATCTTCAGGGGCAGTTCAGGTCTTTTCCTTCTGCACCGCCTTTGCCTCTCGGGCCTCAACTGTAGGCCCGTGGGAGGCCCATTTCCGACTCTGGGCCGTAGTGCTGTAAGAGCTCCCTTCTCTCGGGCGGGGATCACACGGCCTTTGCCCGAACCACCTGAGCCTCCGCCTACGCTCTGTGACCTCCGTCAAGGAGCTCCTCCGGGTACCTTCGGAGTCTGCACTTGGACCTCCACCTTTCCGGTGGTCAGAGGCGAAGGCTTTCCTTGGCATTCCTGCACTTTGACCTTCGCCAAGCCAGCGGTCGGACCCGAAGGCTCCTCCTGGTATACCTGCGCATCATGAAACATGTAAACAGTTGTTGTTACATAGGGGCCTCCGCTACTCATATGTCTATGTCCCAACAGTTCTCCCCTTGAGGGCATGGTCTGATGCGAGCGAGCCATGACCCTTAATTTCATCATTGATATTGAGTTGCGGAGGCTTCCCCTCTTTCCCCCTTGGGTCGCCTGGATCAGATCGTTGCGGTTGTGGTGTGTCGCTTTCTTATTGGTTGCGGTGGCTCTAGAACCGACGCGTTGCCGAACGGATGTGATCGTTGAGCACGGGAGTTGAAACGTCGATCCGCGACCTATATAAGGGTGCGGTAGGTGAAGGCTCCCTCACCTCCATACGATCTATTGCTTTCACCTGCTAGCGCCTTCTAAGTTTTCCTTCGCCTACTTAACCTTCGCTCAAGTTCGTTGTGCCTTTGCTTCTCCGAGCTTATTTTG